TTTAATTAAAGACCACAAATGACAAATTAAAAATTTTTAACCACAGCATGAATCAGAAACTTGGCCAGTCAACCTTTTTTTTTTTTTTTTTTGAGGAGATATTTTTGAAGGTAGAGGTTGCAGGCAGGGAAGGGAAAGCAAAAGAGGGAATTGGCAAAGAAATGTAGTGGGAGGCAGTGGATTGTGGGTGGTGAAACTGGGCTGGAAGTGATGGCTCTAGACTTACTTCACCTCACCCCAGAGCCCTGAGTAAAAATAAATGTTTTTTTTTTTAAGATTTAATTTATTTATTCATGAGAGAGAGAGAAAGGCAGACACATAGGCAGAGGGAGAAGCAGGCTCCCTGTGGGGAGCACGATGCAGGACTCCATCCCAGGACCCTGCAACCACGCCCTGAGCTGAAGGCAGATGGTCAACCATTGAGCCACTCAAGTGTAATAAATCTCTTTCTATCACTTGATTTTCTCTCTACCTTTCAGTGGTCTTAAGCATAAGCAGGGACAGTCAGCACAAACACAACTGGGGTTTTCTTACAGTGACAGAGATAGTCCTTTATCAGATGCACCCAGGAAAGCAGAATGTGACAGCACAACACTATATAACCTCTGGGAGTCTTCTGACAGGGATTGGGGAGAGGGACATGGAGGGGAACAGATGGAAGTACTTTTGAATTTTCCCAGTGGGCACAAGGGTTTTGTTTCTTAATTAGAGGTAGTCTGAGAAGTGCTTGCACTGGTGCTGATACCCTAGTAGAGTTTGAACACCTTCGTTCTGAATTTACTGTGATATAGTCCCCCTGCTTAGGGAGTAGACCAGCTGGCAGCAGGAAAGCTGGCTGAGAGCTCACTTGACCTGAGCTCTAGATTACTACTTGATTCTGTTTTGAAGTCAGGACTTGAATTTTGATGTCCCTTTAGAAGGTAATGCTAGTGTTGATTTCTGGATCTACTTGTGCTTCTGGAAGTATCAACTGTAAAATTATATATATGGAATTTGCTTTTTAGAAAAACCCAGGTGGTAATCAAAATGTGTGGGTGGTTTGAAGTTGTTGTTTTAAGATTTATTTCCTTATTTTTAGAGAGGGAAAGATTGTGTAAGTGGATGGAGGGCCAGAGGGAGAGAGAGTCCTTTAAGCAGACTCCCCGCTAAGTGTGGAGCCTGACCCAGGGCTCCATCCCAGGATCCTGAGATCATGACCTGGGCTGAAATTAAGAGTCGGATGCTTAACCCAACCAGGCACCCCTGGTTTGAGGTTTTTATTTTATTTTTTTAAAGATTTTATTTATTCATGAGAGAGACAGAGAGAGAGAAGCAGAGACACAGGCAGAGGGAGAAGCAGGCTCCCCGTAGGGAGCCTGTTGTCGGAGTTGCTCCCAGAACTCCAGGATCACACCCTGGGCTGAAGGCAGGTGCTAAATCACTGAGCCACTCAGGGATTCCCTGGTTTGAGGTTTTTAAATAAAAGGCCTATGCTCAGTTACTAGGCCTCCAGAGGAGTTCTTTATTCTGCCCAGTTACTTCCTTCCTGTTTCATTACAAACCTTGCCATATTCCCTGCCTTTCCTGACCTTGCAGAATCTGATTTTTTTTTTAAGATTTTATTTATTCATGAGAGAGACAGAGAGAGAAAGAGGCAGAAACATGGGCAGAAGGAGAAGCAGGCTCCAAGCAGGAAACCTAACGTGGGAATCTATCCCGGGTCTCCAGGATCACGCCCTGGGCTGAATGCGGCACTAAACTGCTGAACCCCTCCAGGCTGCCCCAGATTCTGATTCTTTTTTTTTTTTTTTTTAAGATTTTTTAATTTATGACAGACATAGAGGCAGAGACACAGGCAGAGGGGAGAAGCAGGCTCCATGCAGGGAGCCCAACATGGGACTCGATCCAGGGTCTCCAGAATCACATCCTGGGCCGAAGGCAGCGCCAAACTGCTGGGCCACCGGGGCTGCCCCCAGAATCTGATTCCTTTTTTTTTTTTTTTTTTATTTCAGAATCTGATTCTCAACTTCAGTTGAGACTGTTCGAGGGGCTTGAAGTCTTCCTTAAGTACAGAGGACAGTTTTTTGGAAAGGAAGGCAGAGATAGATCCTAAACTCTTAAAGAAAGGGTCACAAATTGGAGGCTGTACTCTTAGTAGTAGCCTAGATGATGAGTTTTCTAAACTTTCTGGGTGGTTCTTGTTGGGGACATCATCACGTAGGGCACCAAGCTCTGGTATCTTTCTTCCTCAGTCACCCTCTCCTGCCTAAACTAAAAATTGACTTTCCGGAGTCTGTTGTTGTTGTTGTTGTAAACTCTACACCCAATATGGGGCCTGAACTCACAACCCCAAGATAAAGAGCTGCGTGTTTTACTGACTAAGCCAGCCAGGCACCCCGACTTTCTGCAGTCTTTACAGAATTCACCTATTATTCTTGCTCCTTTGTTTGCTATTAATAAATCCATTACTGTGTCTGCCACAGTTTAGCTGTTTTAATCATCTCATCTTCTTCCGATTGAAATCCGCAGTTGTGATTTGAGGGGTGGTATGTTATGGTCAAATATGTTATAGGATCCACAGCCCCCCACACTCATCTCCTCCTGGTTGTAGGCAGCAAGATTTAATAGATACACCAGAGATTGCAGTGATCATGCATAGATTGGTTTCTTCCAAAAAGTACAGGGAAAGAGTATATCTGGAAGACAGCTTAGGGAATGTGTTCTCTGAACTTCTCTATCTTTACAGCATCGCTGCTGTCCAGATGAAGTACAAGGCATGGAGGTGAAGTGTGCTTGGCTCTTTGGAGACCTATAAGGAGACCACTGTGGCTGAAAGTAGAATCAGCAGGAGGGGCAGAAAGGTTGGAAATAGTAGTAACAGGTCATGGTAGGCCTTGTGGACCTGTTAGGATTTTTGTATTGTATTCAAAGTGAAATGGGGAATCATTGGAGATTTTTGAGTTGATATGATTTCTAATTTAAAAAGTAAATTACTCTGGCTGCTGTGTAGGGAGTAGACTGGTGATAACAAGAGTGGAACAGAGAAACCATTTAGAAGACTATTGTAGTAATCCAGGCTAGAGATGATGATATGACAAGTGAAATTATTACCCATCTCCAAGCAAGGTTGGGAGACCTAATGAAGAAAACCTCACCGATGCCCCTCATGCAGTCCTTTTAACAACATTAGGCTCCAGTATCCAATAATTCCCTTCTGTTCCTGGGATTTTGCCCTCTCCTATATTAGGACCATAGGGAGAGGTTATTAAATAAAGAACAGCTTTCACAGGGGAAGGGATTGTAAGCAGTACCTCACTCACTTGACCCCAACAGAAGCCTTTTTATTTCTTGAGGCACTGCAGTTGGTGCGCTGGGTACATTCTGTTATCCCACCCACCGGAGACCTGAAAAAGCAGAATCTATGCCCAAACTTTTGGGCAGCTCTGTTCTCACTGAGGCATTCAATCTTCAGTTCTTTCTGCATTTGCTATCTTAGACACAGTTTGAGCAGCTTCTTTTACAAACTGTCTTTTCAGCTACCTGGCCTTGCAAGCTGGAGCTCTTTGATACTCATCAGGACAAGGTAGTTTCACATACAGAGGGCCCTCAAAGAGAAAGAAAGAGGATTTGTGGTCTTTGTTTATACTTGAGCTCTTTTCCCACTCCTCTTTTGTTGGGATTAGAGCCTTAACATGCCACCTTGATTTCTGGGTTTTGCAATAAGGGAAAGGAATTCATGTATTTTATAGTGCATTATACTTGTTTGAGAAAAGCTTGGTCCTTGGTACACAGGAAGCTCACATTGCTCTTCCCTGCAGAAGGCCACATCAGATCTGCTTTCTTGGGCAGTTCTTGTTGGTAGACATCACTGAGGAAACCAGGCCATCTTGACATAATGTCAGGATTACCTACCTAGGGAGGGCTGCTGGTAGCCTTCTACCTCCTTGATTTATTCTGGGAACAATACTTTTTTTTTTTTCTTTTTTCTAGGGTCTAGGGGGTCTAATTGTGTGATAGGCAATAGGAAAGGTAAATCCCAGAAACTTAGAAATGGAGTTTGATTTAACAGTAGTTAATTGTGTCTCCTAGGATGCTTTCTTTGCTCCTTCTTCCTTCTAGAAGTGAGCTCAGATTACTGCCATCACAAGTTGGACTTTGGGTGCCTTTGCCGCTCATACACTGTACTGCTTTTGGAAATGTCTGACTGCCCCTGCCCCAACCAAGTCTGTAAATAGACTGAGCCAGGTCCTGTGAAGGCCAGCTCTCTTCAAGAACCCTGTTCTATTTTCAGGGAAAAATAATTTTTCCCTTCACCTCAGCTAGAATCTGCCCTAGTCTTTCTGCTCCTGCCTTAACTAGGGCACAGATGAGAGCTAGTATGCCATGTATCTGGCAACCCTGTGGCCCTGCCCAAAAACAGTATGGAGAGGCCATCTATAGGAAATGCACATGCTAAAAGTGCATCCACAGCTTGTGACCATAAAAGATAGGTACCTTATTTTCCAGTTACTTGTGTGGATAGGTATTTCCAGTTTTTATTTTCTCTCCACCCATGCAAATGTGTTGACTGTAATACCATTTTATTTTATTTTATTTTATTTTATTTTATTTTATTTTATTTTATATTTTATTTTATTTTATTTTATTTATTTTTAATGATTTTATTTATTCACTCATGAGAGACACACAGAGAAAGACACAGGCAGAGGGAGAAGCAGGCTCCATGGAGGGAGCCCGACGTGGGACTCGATCCCGGGTCTCCAGGATCAGGCCCTGGGCTGAAGGCGGTGCTAAACCGCTGAGCTACCCAGGCTGCCCTGAAACACCATTTTGGCCATAGTAATAGTTGGGAGCAAATTGGTGCTACAGATAAAGACATAGATGTATTTTCAGCCAACATGCTGCTAATTAAATTGTTTGTCTATTTAAACTTGGCCTCTGCTGCTCATATCTGATGTCCCTGGTATCTTCCTTGAGTGAGTTGCCTTGTATTCCATAACTTGTTTTTTTATTCATTGCAGTGTGAGTGACTGCCCCATGTTGTGTTGATGCCAGTCTGCCATGCTAGCCTGTCTACCAGGGCCAGGTGACCTGTCCTTTCAGCTTCTTTCTCACACGCAGATGAACACTGGACTTCAGAAATGTAAGTAATCTGGATCCCAGGGACGGATGTGATCTTTATTTTGTCCCTACATTTGGGTGTAATACGGAGGCACATCAGGGGCATGTTGACTCTGAACTTTGGTACCTCTAAGCTATTCTTTAGCAAAGACAGCAAGAAAGCAGCTGCCAGACTTACCAGCAGTGTGGACACTTTGCTGATCAGAGAGATCTTCTTAAAATACTAGAATTCCTCAGGGTGTATCATCTTAATTATAATTGTGCTGATAGCTATATGTTGAGCAACAAAACTATAAGGAATTTTACAGGATATGTATGTCACCCTTCAAAAATATGTTTTGGTGGGGATCCATGGGTGGCTTAGTGGTTTAGTGCCTGCCTTCAGCCCAGGGCATGATCCTGTAGTCCTGCGATCAAGTTGCGCATCAGGCTCCCTGCATGGATCCTGCTTTTCCCTCTGCCTGTGTCTCTGCCTTTCTCTCTCTCTGTCTCTCTTATGAATAAATAAATAAATAAAACTTAAAAAAAAAAAAAAAGATGTTTCAGCTTGAACCCCCCATGAGGGATTGATTTTTTTTTTTTTTTATGATAGTCACAGAGAGAGAGAGAGGCAGAGACACAGGCAGAGGGAGAAGCAGGCTTCATGCACCGGGAACCCGATGCAGGATTCGATCCCGGGTCTCCAGGATCGCACCCTGGGCCAAAGGCAGGCGCCAAACCGCTGCGCCACCCAGGGTTCCCCCCATGAGGGATTGAATGAAAACTCACACTCTTGATTACTTACTGTATCTCTGAAACAACCTGTTTACCCTTTTCTGTTGTTTTGGACACTCTGAGCATTCTCTACCATGGAAATAATTCTCTTTGGCTCTTCTCTCTGCCAAACCAGTGACCTCAGTTCACAAGTAAAGAAGCTCTAACCTCTGGAAGTGATAGGGAGCTACCTTTCTCAGGCTCTCTGGGTATATTCCTGCTAATAAACTTGCCTACAAGATTGAACTTTTGAGAACTATTAGATTTCTTTCCCCCCCCCTTTTTTTTTAAATAGTAAACTCTACGCCCAACATGGGGCTTGGACTCATGACCCTGAGATCAAGAGTTGCATGCTCTACTGACTGAGCCAGCCAGAAGCCCCAGATTCTTATCTTAAATTGGCTGGAATTGGGGCTTTATACCTCATATTTTCCCAGATTCCTGGCTTCTATCCCTGCACTCCAAGGATGTGCAAGGAAAAGATTCTATTCCTAGTTCATTACCATGTACAGTTTCTTTTTTTTTTTTTTTTTAACAAATTTTATTTTATTTTTATTTTATTTTATTTTTTATTTATTTATGATAGGCACACAGCGAGAGAGAGAGAGGCAGAGACACAGGTAGAGGGAGAAGCAGGCTCCATGCACCGGGAGCCTGATGTGGGACTCGATCCTGGGTCTCCAGGATCGCGCCCTGGGCCAAAGGCAGGCGCCAAACCGCTGCGCCACCCAGGGGTCCCCCATGTACAGTTTCTTTAAGTATAAAAATGGCCCTCAATTTGGGATAGACCTTTCAGAGCAAAGGGGGAAGTCACTGAGGCATCTAGGCTTTACCCTTTAATAGAAAAGGTGCCTTAGCACCTTACCCAAATCCTTTATGACAGAGGCTGGTAAACTTCTTCCATAAAAGGCCAGATAGCAAATATTTTAGGCTTTGTGGGCCAGTTGGCCCCTGTTGCGTCTACTCAGAGCTGCTGTTATAGGGCAAAGGCAGCTATAGACTACATGTAAACAAATGAGTATGGCTGTGTTCTGATAAAACTTTTTACAAAAATACAGCAGCTGTATTTTGGTCCATAGGCTGTAGTTTGCTGACCCCTGTTATGTCCTGCTATGTGAGATCATCTTCAGAAGTTAAAAATTGTCTAGCCTCTTGACTTCCTTTCTTTGAAGGAGAGTAAGACTCGGAGCCTGGCTAGTTCTGGAATTTAGCCAGTGAATCCAACTCAGTGTCAGAGCTGAAAGCAACAGTCTTCCTTGTGCAGCTGCTTGACCCAATAGGCAAGCTATGCTATGCTGTACCAGCTTTTTCTCCAGTCTTTCTCTTAATAAATGATGATTGGGTAATAAAGTTGTATGTGCTCTCTGGCCACTGAAATCTGAATGCTAACTGCATTTTGACTGGTTCTGGGGTTCCAGGGATATAACTAGAGAAGGGAGTATACTTAAAGCCTGACAGAAAAGCCCATTGACTTTCTTCTAGGTTTCTTAATGTACTCAAACAGCTTTACCCAGGGATGGGATATCATGGGTAACCCATTTGGGAGGAAGAGCAAATTGGCAGCTTTATCTTGGGTGCTGATTTTGGATCTCCACTCCCTTTCTCCCCAAAGCAGTCTCAAAGTAGCCTCTGCCAACCCCTGTCTTCAAATTTTATTCAAGAATTGAGATAACCTTCTTCCTTGGATTCAGGGTTCTGTTCGGGGGATAGTGTAATGGAATCCCTTTGTTTCATTTAGTTTCTATCCTTAAATATACCGAAGCCTTTGCAGAGAAGAAAACTTGATGGTGCTTTAAGCCTACTTGCTCTCTTCTCACCTCTCCCAAAATGTTTAAGAAAAAAAATTCTGCCATGTCACTTATTGTTGTTAGCATGAAACATTCAGGATGAGGTGGAGCTTAAACTCTCTCCTTTGGGAACCAGCACCAAGGCCCTGCTCAGAGCCGAGACCTCTCAGCTACAGAGAGCTTTAAACCAGTTTTTGGACTCTGCTCTTCAGCCTTTCTCTGCCCCTCATCCTTAGGAGGGTCTTATGAGTTGTTAGAAACAGAACTTGGTGTCTGGTAGGGTGGGGATGGGGTACAGATGTTTATAGATTATTGTGCTTTGTATTGTAAGAGTTCAAGGCAAGAGAGATGGATCAGGGGTCAAGAGATAGGATGTGTGGCATCTTGGCCCGCACTCTAAGTCCCCTGGTTAATTGCTTTCTCAGGCCTAACCCACCACAGGTACAGAATCATAGGATCGATCCCTTCTGACCCTAGCATTTCTCATCTCCTCTTCTTTGTGTGTAGGAGGATGTAATGCATTTCCCATCCTAGATGTGTTATTTGCTGTGGGGCAGTCTGGATTAAGGAACATCTTGGCTTTGGTGGGTTCTGCACTTGCTAGGGGACCATAGTTGGGGTTAGGTGGATGCCCTCCTAGAGCTTTTCTAGATTGTATATTCCATGATGTCACTTGCTTTGAGAGTTCTCAGCAGTTTTGGAACTGTACTTGGGAAAACTTCCACTGACCTATCTTTTCCCAATTCCCTAGAAAATTGTTTTTTTGAATATTTTTTTCTTCATTAACCCCAAGCCTCTACTCCTACTTCTCCAGCTCACCATCAGGTATATTGTAGTGGCTCAATAAATATTGCTAGGTGAGTGGCTGAAATGGTCAAACGTCGTTGGTCCTCAAATCATCCTTTAAAAAAATTTTTTTTATTTTTAAAGATTTTATTCATTTATTTGAGACAGAGCACAGAGGGGAGTGTGAGAGGGAGAAGCAGACTCCCCACTGAGCAGAGAGCCTCATGAGAGGCTTGATCCCAGGACCCTGAGATCAGGACCCAAGGCAAAGGCATATGCTTAACCAGCTGAGCCACCCAGGCACACCCTCAAATCATTTCTGAGACAAAGGTCAAAATTACCCAGGTTTGCTGTTACTTTCTATGCCTGTCTGCCCCCTAGTGGAAGGGCCTGGAAATGGTGAATTAGCCCTCTGGATAAACCCATAGAAATTTCAGAAATACTAGCTAATAATTGTTGATTGCTTATTGTGTGCCAGGCACTATTTTAAGTATATTTATCTACGTTCTCATTCATTCTTCAGTGATCCCATATGAGAAACTCTTATCTTTCTTTTGAATGTCACATTACTGTTCAGTGACTAGGCTAGAACTTACTCTTGGGTCAGACTCCAAAGCCGGTGTTTGAAACACTGCCTGTGCCTCTCCACGTATTGATAGTTTCCTGCTGCATATGATACTTGTGTCTTCTGACCTTCAAAATAGAAAGATAAACAGGGAGGCCCCTGTGAGGAAGATGGGATTCAGGGAGATTCTCCCTCTCACACCCCTACCCCGCTGCTGCTTCCTGTAGTCCCTGCAATAGATAACACTGCTTTCTGCTACATTTAACTCCCAAACTCAAATCCAGAGGGATTTCTTGGTCAGGTTACTTTTCCCTGTGTGTAGACTCCACCAAACCTGCTATCCTTGAATAATAATTTCTGATAGTTAGGGTTCCTGTTTACAGAGCTTTTTCCTATTCAGTGAATCTCTTGATCTTAGTAATTCTGTGAGGTAGAGGGATACTTATGTGGCTCAATTGGTTAAGTATTTGACTCTTGGTTTCAGCTCAGGTCATGATCTCAGGGTCGTGAGATCCAGCCCTGCCTCCCACTCCTGCTTGGAATTCCCTTTCCCTCTGCCCCTCCTGTCCGTGCATTCTCTCTCTCTCTCTCTCACACACACACACACGCACACACGCACACACACACACACAAATAAAATAAAGGGGTGTCTGGGTGGCTCAGTGGTTGGGTGGCTCAGTTGTTGGGCGTTTGCTTTCTGCTCAAGGCATGATCCCAGGATCTGGGATCGAATCCCACATTGGGCTCCCTGCGTGGAGCCTGCTTCTCCCTCTGCGTCTGCCTCTCTGTGTGTGTTTCTCATTAATAAGTAAATAAAATATTTAATAAAATAAATATATAAAATCTTTTTTAAAAATTCTGTGAGGTACAATAAGCAGGTATCATCCCTATGTATATGAAGAATGACTGAGACCCTCAGTAGTAGGTAATAAAGCTAGTATTTGAATCTGGATCTCTCTAACTTTGTTCTAACCATAGATGCCCTAATCTCTCTCTCTCTCTCTCTTTTTAAAAAAAAATTTTATTTATTTACTTGAAAGAGAGAGAGTGCACGGATGCATACATGAGCTAGGGAGGGGCAGAGGGAGAGGGAATCTCAAGCTGACTCCGTGCTAAGTGTGGAGCCTTACTACTTCTCAGTCTTACTACCCTGAGATCATGACCTGAGCCGAAATGAAGAGTCAGTTGCTTAAATGACTTGAGCTACCTAAGCGCCCCCACAGATTCCCTATTCTGTACACTGCCTTATGTCCTGATCAGTGATATCTTTGGTACCAGGTATTTAAATAAGCTGGTTATGGGGGAACCTGGCTGAATCAGTCTGTAGAGCATATGACTCTTGATCTCAGGGTTGTGAGTTTGAGCCACGTGTTGGGCATATAGCTTACTTTAAAAAATAATAAAAATAAATAAGTTGCTTACAAAGCTGTTGTATCTGTGTTAGCTGTATACTTAAGGGAAGATGTTATAGAAGAAAGCTTCCAGGGTGCCTGTGTGGGAGTAAGATAAAGTGTAAAGAAAGCTTGGGTTTTTTTTTTTTTTTTTTTTTAAGGGCTGGGCTTATGTCTTGTACATGAGGTGGGTGGTACTGGATTCCAAGAATGTAGTCTCTTTTTTGTCCAATATACTCATCTCATCCTTGAGATTCTTTAACAAACATACTATAGCCTGTATCCACCCTTCCTAGCCTTACTTCCTTGTGATTCTGATTCCTTTATTTGACTGCTCTCATCACCACTGTCAACATCTGCAGAAGCAGGACAAAAAGAACTAATTGGTGTAAGTGTCCCATTCCATACTCCTGAATCAAGCCAAGCTGCCTTCCGGTGGGGGCGGTGGGGACACCCTGAGACTTGGTACTGACTTGGAACAAAGGATTCTGTTGGTCAGCAGGCCGCTGTACCACCCTGTCTTACCTGGCCTGCAAGGAGAGAAGCCCCCCAACACTGAGGAAGGCCCAGGGGCAGGCCTGTATTACCTGTCTGGACTAAAATCCAGCGGCTTTGGACTGCCATGACTCAGCTGAGCCCAAGGTGTCTGGGCAGAATAGAACTTATACTGATGGCACTTGCTGAGTCCACTACATGTCTGCTCTGGGTAAGGCGCTGGGCTAGGAGTGTCACGTGATCTTGGCCGGTCAGACACCTAAAGTACAGTGGCTGATGTGGGCAGCTTTTAATGGAATGCTGCTGCCTTGAAGGACTATTAGTGATCCCAGATTTTTTGGTATTTTCTTATCTAGGAGAATGTAGTGAGGGTCAGAAACTGGCCCCACCCTATGGAGACTGATGCCCATTGAGGGTCAGTGGCTTATAAGAAGCAGCAGAACACAGACTCTTCTCTCAGGGCTTTGATTCTGCTCACCAGCTACTGCTACCTAATGGATAGAAGGTTTCTGGGCGTCTTTTGCCTCCCTCTCCCTTCCTGGCCTCAACTGTCACTGTCACATTCATCCTTTTAAGACCTTCTTCAAATCAGTCATCTTACAAACATTTCATTTATGGACAGAGCATCTATTCTGTATGCAGTGAATAAAGCAGACCTCAAACACGTGGGAGTGCCCTACTGCACTGAGGTATTGTGCCCCTGAAAGCACAACTCTTTCCTGTACTCTTTTGCTTAGTTCTGCCTTGGTGAGTGTGGGACCAAATCTCTCTGTGCCTTGTGGAGTTGAGCTCTCTTTTCATGCCTCTGAGAGCAGCATTTTCTAAGCAGTTGCTGCCAGGCTAACCAGCCACGCCACTCAATGAAGGCAACTGTGCCCTCTTCCTTCTTGCACACTCCTTGAGCCCCTTCCCTTTCATTTGATGCCCAGTGATGTGACTGAATGGGATCTTCTTGGGCCAAGGCAGCTGAGGCCACCAGCTGGGTATTCGGTCAGCTTAGTCTTGCTGTGTCCTGGCCTCCTTCTGCAAGGGGGAGAAATAGGGCGGGAGTTAGCTACTTGAGCCTAGGCTCCCAGCCAGGCCCTTTCCTTCTGCTGGGGCAGTCTGTGGACTTGTTCAGCAGACTTTTACTAAGCTCCCTCTGTGTATACTTAAGAGACCCCTACCTCAGAAAGGGAGAAGAGAGCTGAGACCTTTTGCAGGAGCCTGGCATCCTTAAAGAGCTCTTGTTCTCAGAGCCTTTTCCTTTTTGACTAGAAGTCTGACATCCGCCCGAGCCCCCTGATGGGTGGCCACTGGAGATGGGAACAGAGAGACTGTTAACATTAATGAGGCACATTGAGTGGGTATTTCCGCAGTCTCCAAAGGAAGGCAGGTTTTTCCTCTTTCATTTTGGAAAGTGACAGCTGACAAGGGCCAAATACAGACTATTTTTGGCTCTCAGAACTTTAAGATTCTCTGAGTCCTTTCTTCTCAGCTCCCTCCCTGCTGCCCTGTCATTATTGTCACCCCCCCACACACACAAGGAAATAAAGCCTTTTGATCTTCACCCAATCAGGCAAAGAGTAAGCTGTAAACAAAAGTGAACTTGTGACATAAGGCTTAGGGGAGGGATGTTGGCAGCTTATTCCTCTGCTCCTGAAAAAGAAGCATCCTGTTTGCTGTGCCAGGATGCGCACCCAGTGGGTATGGTGCCCTAGCTGCCAGGGCACAAGGGAAAGCTGCTTCCTCCCTGGCTGCCACAGACTGAAGAGGTGCCACTCTGGGTGCCCTCTTTACCTCGATGTCATGGGGAAGGGACTGAGTTGAGTGGCCACAGAGGGCCCTGACAAGCAGCTCTGTGTAGAACCTTCACCCCCCCAAGGCCAGCATGGGCTGGTAGGGACTTGGAGAGAGTACCATATACGGGAACCAACCCTCAATTAACCTTTGTGAGAATTGGCCAGGTTCTGGCTCTCCAGAATCCAGAACTTTGAAAGTTCCTCTGTTGATCTGATCTTTGGTGGCCTCATTTATAAATGAGAATCCTTGATAGTAGCTGCCTTCTAAAGCAGGAGTGAGGATTCATTGAGATAGCCTGTCACTCAGCACCAGGCCTGCCCAGTTACAAGCACTGACTAAACATTAGCAGTGCTCATTACCATAGGGGCTCAGTAAGACTGGGTCTAAGATGAAGACTAGAACTTCTTTATCCCCTGCTCCACCTAATGCCCTCAAAAGGGGAATCTAGAAGGGCTGGTTGGCTTGGCACTCATGAGCTCCCTCTCCTTCTTTGCTCTCCTTACCCTTCTCTCTCTCTAGGGGACACTACACAGAAAATGAGAGCTGCTCACTATCCTACCCCAGCCGAATTGGACGCGTATGCTAAGAAGGTCGCAAACAACCCACTGACTATAAAAATCTTCCCCAACAGTGTGAAGGTTCCCCAGCGGAAACACGTTCGTCGTACTGTGAACGGCCTCGACACATCAGCCCAGCGCTACAGCCCCTACCCGACTCAGGCTGCCACCAAGGCAGGCCTGCTTGCCATTGTCAAAGTGCCAGCCAAAAGCATACTCAAGGACTTTGACGGCACCCGAGCCCGATTGCTCCCTGAGGCCATCATGAACCCCCCAGTAGCGCCCTATGCTACTGTGGCACCCAGCACTTTAGCCCACCCCCAGGCCCAGGCTCTGGCCCGCCAGCAGGCCCTGCAGCATGCACAGACCCTGGCCCATGCCCCTCCCCAGACGCTGCAGCACCCTCAGGGTATCCCGCCACCCCAGGCGCTGTCCCACCCTCAGAGCCTCCAGCAGCCTCAGGGCCTGGGCCACCCTCAGCCCATGGCCCAAACCCAGGGCCTGGTCCACCCTCCAGCCCTGTCTCACCAGGGTCTCCAGCACCCCCCCAATCCCTTGCTGCATGGAGGTCGGAAGATGCCAGACTCAGATGCCCCCCCGAATGTGACCGTGTCTACCTCAACTATCCCCCTTTCAATGGCGGCCACCCTGCAGCACAGCCAGCCCCCGGACCTGAGCAGCATCGTGCACCAGATCAACCAGTTTTGCCAGACGAGGGCAGGCATCAGCACTACCTCAGTGTGTGAGGGCCAGATCGCCAATCCCAGCCCCATTAGTCGCAGTCTGCTCATCAATGCAAGCACCCGGGTGTCGACCCACAGCGTCCCCACGCCAATGCCTTCATGTGTGGTCAATCCCATGGAGCACACCCATGCGGCCACAGCCGCACTGCCTGCCGCAGGCCCTGTCAACCTGCCCACAGGCATCTCTCGAGCCCCCACTGGCTACCCTAGCGACCTCAAGCCAGTCGCCTGGAACCAGCACCAGCTGGCTCACCTACAGCAGATGTGCAGTGAGGCTGGTGGGACGCCGGCCCCTGGCCTGACAGGCAAGCATGCAGCAGGACGCGAGTTGGCAGGGCCTGGCTTTGTGGGCAAGGCCCCTGCCTACCCGCAGGAACTCTGCCTGGCACAGTCCTTCCATCTGAAGCCACCCCTGGAGAAGCCAACCCCATCCCCGCCCGTCAACGGCCTGGCAGCCCCACTGGCCTACCCCAATGGTCACTACTTCCAACCCCTGTGGAACAACATTCTGCCCACTCCCAATAGCGACAGCTCGGGGTCTCAGGACCTCGCCATGCCGTTCCATGGTGGGCAGCCCACGGGTGCACCCCTTGACTGTGGGACGGCTGCTGGGGCCCACTACCGAGCAGGGACTGGGGGCGGTCCAGTGGCAAGCCAGAACAGCTTGATGCAAACAGTGGATTACCTAAGTGGGGATTTCCAGCAGGCCTGCTTTCGAGAACAGAGCCTGGCCATGCTGAGCAAGGCCCACCGAGCCCCTGGCAACCGAGCCCCTGATCCCACAGATAGTCGAAATCTTCATATTCAGCACCCTGGGTATAGATAGGTAGCCCTGCTGCCCTCCACAAGCTACACATCATACATCACCCTCCTAGGTTTAGACTTACTTTGGAGTCATTGGATAGTTTCAAATTTTTCGCTCCTCCAATGTGATCATTCTTAGATGTCTAAGGGAATTTGGTGGGATCTAATTGAGGACACCAGGGGATGCCCTGTGCCCTCATCCTCCCCTCCACCATCCCCAGTAACTTCTGGGTTTATGTTAGGCCCTAACCCCAACTCCAGGCTTTTCTCTCTGCTGCCAATCAATCCCTTTACCTTGGCTGTTTCCCGCCAGCCACCTCCTGTCTTCTTGCACCTCTGCCTGTTCCCCTCAGGACTGAGGTGTGGGTAAGGTAAGGGCCCTGGGTGAGGCAGCTGTAGGCGCCCAGACCCTTAAGCTAGGCCTCTCCCTGTCTGTCTCTTTGGGACTAAGAAGCCAGACTTCCCAAGTGCTCTGGAAGCAAATTCCTTGTTCACCCAAAGATCTCAAATCAAACTCACCCAGTCTTCACCTCCTCCCACCCCCCTCCATTCCTCAGGGCTTTGTTTTACATCTACATGGATTCCAGAGCCACTGCGCTTGTTCTTGCTACTCCTCAAGGGCACCCTGCAGGTACTTGGCCATAGCTTTGAGACATGGGGAAAAGATCCTTGTATTGGTCTTAGTTCCTGACACCCACCCTCCCCCGGCCCCTTCCAGCCCTAGAGAAAGGTAGTAAGGTAGTGAGCATTCAGCCAACCCAAGATCCTTTGTGACCCAAGATCCCTTTGTCACTGGTGTCACTCTCCTAACTCACTTGCTGCTCCCATCCCTTATGCCCCTCCAAAACCTAAGCAAAACAAAACAGGATCTTATGGAACTAGGTAGGTGAAGGATGATCACATTGGGGTTTGGAATTAAAAACACCAAAAAAAAAAAATGCATTTGGTTCTCTCTACACTGGCTAAGAATATTGCTCTACACTGTAAGTTTTAAATGTCCTGTTTCTGTATGAATGTAGTGTGGGTTTGAGTAGCGTTGTGTGAGCGGCCCCACAGGTACATTCACCCTCTAGTCACCTCCTATTGCAGCCCCAGTTTAATGAAGAAAGAAAGAAAGAAAAAAAAAACACAAAGCCTTAAGCTCTTTGAATTCTTCCTTTACCAAATGAGCATGGTTCTAACAGCTGGAGGTGGATCTACATGGAAAACAGCCCCTCCCGCCCTTGCCCATCCTTCACCCCATGCTCGATGTGTCTCACTCCCAAGTGTCAATAGTTGGCTAGAAATTTAAACTTTTCTGTAACTTTAAATTTAGATCGTTTTGTAATTTTTTGCACCCTTCTGTTAAAGATACATAGTTGGGGTCTTTTTTTTTTTCTTTTCCTTTTTAAACCAAATAAGCCCTTACCTTTCCTCTTGTCTTTGGGGAATGTTAGCTGATGTTCTTATTTAAGATTTGTGGTTTTGTTTACTATACTATCCACTGTTCTTTAGCCAGAAATTCTCTAGTGATCTGAAGCAATGTGACTGAAGACCAGTTTTTAAATTATGTGTTGGCAAGTTGCCTTATATTTAAAAAGAGAAAAGAAGAAAAAGAAAATGCCTGATTGTGTCATGCCAAATGATAGCAACATGAAGTCCTAATTTATTGTTCCTGATGTCCCTGCCGTCTGTGAACACTGGTACCTCCCTGTCCCTGAGCCCTTAGGGGGCACCTGCAGCTTCTGGTGCAGGCCACCCCCACCCCCAGCCCGCCCAGGCATTGACCGCCATCTCACCCAGGGCCCCCTTCCGGGTCTCACTTCTCAGAGTTACAGTGAAAGGGCACCACTGTTTCCCCTTATCCCTTGCTTGATTTCCAAACCAGGTATTTTTGCCGTAATTTTTTCCAGAGCCTCTCCCTGAGAGGTGAGCTGCCATCTTAGGAAATTGGACCAGACACCAACTTGGGAGCTTTAAATCAAAACCTCAAACCCTCAAATCTCTTCCTGTGTAGGGGTGCAAATTTCTGAAGCTCTCACTCCCACCCCTAGTCTGCATGGAAAATGTACTGTGACACCCCCCCCAATTACTTCCCCCCAACTGCCCTTGCCTTTGGTGTGAGATGTTTCCTAGTTCACCCTGAGCCCCTCTCCCTTCTCTGCCAGCCAGTCCCCAACCAGCAATAAGGGTCCAAGCCAGGGCCTCCTGTCCACACTCCCTGCCTCCATCCCACACTGCCCCTAGGGAATACCTGGATTCCCTATGCTGTCCACATACTGTAGCATTCATTCTCCATCTCCCTCATCTTCTCACCTGTGGTGGTTTATGGGTGTGATGGGGTTTTTAAGATTATTATAAACCAGTAAAAAGAAAAAACTGACCTTCTGATCTCGTCCTATTCGTTGAATGCTGTGAATGTGTGAGGTGATTTTTCTTGTAATGGTTTCTAACCTGTCTCCTTTCTAGAAGGGAAGCCAGTCCTCGTTTTTAAGAGGGGAGCCACGTAGTGTTTGTCCCACTCAGGAGCCCTTCCAGTCTGTTACCCCAGAGCAAGTGCTGTGGTGGTTGGAAAGTATGGGGTAGTCCACTGCAGCCAGCTGCCCAGCCCTGCCCTGCCGGCTGGGTGTGCTGTCACTCTCACTCCAAGGACCATTGAAAAAGGGAGCTATCTGGTTTGCTGATAAGCCAACTGAAGACTGAATGTCCCTCCCTCCCCTTCTCCAGCACTTTGGAATTCTGAGGGCCTCTGACAGGTGGAGGTCATAGGTGCTGTAATCTATAACATGCAAAGTGCCCCCTCAGAGTACAGTCCCTTCTGAGCACGCCCATCTCTGGGGTGGGGGGGGGGGCTTTAGAGAAGGGCTTTTCCTTTATTCCTTAGGCCATCCCTGTAAAAGCAAGCCTTCTACCTGGGTTACATACCTGGAGTCTGCCTAAGGTCACACAGCTATAGAGCTGACCCACAAGGTGAGCCCAGCTGTCTCGCCTCTTAGGACAGGTGCTTGAGTCCAGCCCACATTTTGATGCAGAACCTGGCCTGAGGGGTGCCCAGGTGGCTCAGCAGTTGAGCGTCCGCCTTTGGCTCTGGGTGTGATCCCAGAGACCAGGGATCGAGCTCCCCACATCGAGCTCCCCACAGGGAGCCTGCTTCTCCCTCTGCCTGTGTCTCTGCCTCTCTCTCTGTGTGTCTCATGAATGAATAAAATCTCAAGAAAATAAACCAAAACAAAATCTGGCCTGAGTTCCACAAAGCAGTTCTGCTTGCTTGCAGCATCGCTGGAATGAGGTTTGGGGTCTGGAGTCAAGTGCAACACCCACTGTTGCACACAACTCTAGAAGTTACCATTCGACCTTCCCTGTCCCTGTGCTCTCTTGAGTGGTGCACGGCACAGGCCTGCCAGCAGAGGGAGCCCAAGCTTGACCCAGGGTGTCCGGCTTCTCTGGGAAGACAGATGCTGGACGCATGGTTTTCCACCTGTTGCCTGACGCAGGCATTTGGCAGAGCCCAGGCTTTTCCCTACCAGTTTCCTGGCATCACTGTACCAAGATGGAACCATCTGGAGAAGCAGTCTTTAATTCCTCAGCAAAGCCACCAGGGTCCCATTTCCCCCTGGGTCAGTGAATGTGACCTTTTGAAGGTCCTTAATCCTAACACAGGCTCTTTTCACCTCAGCCTGTGTGGCAAAACGAAGGCAAAAACTCCAGCCCTTGAACCTGCCCCTTACTAAGGTAGTGGTAGTCACACACTGGGCCTCTTCCCAGGGCCAAGCAGAAAGAATAAGGGACTTGATTAATTGTGAAGTTTGCAGGTCTAGGGGAATAGGAATACTCCCATCTTACCAATAAGACTTACAGTGCCCCATGTAGCTGAACAACTTGCCAAAAAGCAAGCACAGCAAGGATCCAAACTCAATTCTACAGCCAAAATTAAAGGGAGCTATACTACCAGGGATTGCTAGAGCTTCCAACAGAATCCAGGCCCTGTCCCAAACCAGCTTGAAAGAGCACTGAGAATTCGGTTCACACCTCCGTTCCTGTTTTGTCAGTCAAATGTGGGTAATCATAGGCCCTGAGGCCTCTATGAAAAGTAAACAAATATGGATGAGAAAATCCAGGTGCCCTGTACATCTCACAAGGTCCGTGGCTTAGTCCCTGGATATGGGCTGGGCTTTGGGGCTGTCAAGCACGTATTTTGTGCTAGGAACAAGCACTGTCTTAGGAAGTCTTCATCACAACCAGTCGAGATAGGTCCTTTTAGTTTGGGGATAGGAGCGATTTCATTGGCCTATTGTTATTAATTCATTGGCCTATTATTTTTAAATGAAATAATGCAGGTAAAGCACCTAGCAGTGTCTGCCACGTGACAGCTATCATTACTGGACCAAGAAAGACCAACTTAGGGTGGAAACCCTAAGCTTTAGTGGAGCGAGGATCAGGGGACTCCCAACTTCTAAAATGTTCAGAGCCTGCATCTCCCCCATTTAACCACCAGGCGGCAGAGGCAGGCAGCTGTGCGCCGCACAAAGCCGACGCGATTCCCCTGCCGTCCGCCAGAGGGCGATGCAGCGGCCTGACTTGGGCCCTGTGACCTCGCAGTCGGGCCCTGCCTTCCAGGGCCCTGACCATCCCAGATAAGTCAGGCTGGAACCAAGTTAATAAATACAATTCAGGATTTATTAAAAACCAGGGCTCCCCCGCCGTGCTCTCCTGGCACTAAGTAAATAAATAACCGGAGAGGGCACAGCTGGGGAAAGGGGAAGAGAAATCAGATCTCATCAAGACAGATTCTTTGAACTACCCCTCACTTTCCCAACTCCCACCCCCCACTATGGCTCTTGGGACATAGCACCAGCAGGTACCTCAGTCCCGGGTAGAGTGTGGCCGGCACCAAGGCATGTCTTCCCTGCCCAGGAGAGGAGACAGACCCTGGGATCACTTGTTTCCAAGCCCTTGGTGACCCCAAGACCTGCTCCACCCAGGGGCCAGGGCTGAAGCACCAATAGGAGGCACCTGAGGGTAGGAGGGAAGGGGGGGAGGGGGAACAGAGGAACAGAACCTAGGCAGCAGAAGAGGCTGAAAGGGGGTCCGGCCCCCTCTCCAGGTTCAGCCAGTTCCCGACTGAGGTCACATTCCATCCTCCCTTTCTCCTGGAGCCCTGTCTGCACTCAGCTGAGGATCTTGCGGGGCAGTTCAACAGAGGCACGGATGAAGACGGCATCATCCCGCACATAGTTTCGCTTGCGGATATCCTGATGGGAAATGAACTTGGGATAACCAAAGCCCAGAGAACTCTCATCCAGGGAGCCCCGCCAAGTACCCGGTTTTTGAAAATTCTTCCAGTTTGGGTCAGGGTGAAAGGTCTCCGTGACGTGCTGTGGCTTAGCCAGCCCAGGGTCGCTCTGATCCAGCAGGGAGAAGGTGACACGGCGGGCAAATGGCCACTCCAGGAGATTGTCAAAGGCACCTGGCAGCACGCGAATGTAGAGCGAGAGGTGAGTTCCCTCGCCACTGCCGTTGCCGTTGAGGAATGCAGAGACCTGCAACTTGTAGCCGTACTTGTGTGTGTAGAAGGCCGGGCTGAAGCACTCGAGGTTGGGCTTAGCTTTGGCTTCCTGAAGCCGCCGTCCATAGCTGCCTATCTTCCAGATGAGCACGCCGTCACTGCCCACCGACAGCTCCTCCAGCTCCCGCCGCATCTCCTGCAGCTCCTGCCGCTGCCGGCTCACCAGGGCACACATCATGGCCAGGTGTGGCTTCACGCTCTCCTCCACATGCCGTGCCATCGCCAGCTTAGGGCACTGTTGGCAAAGCCCAGAGCCGCCGGGGTGGGGGGGGGAGGGGGGATGACACACAGTTCTCAGCAGGAGCAGGCCCAGGGGGGAGGGGGGAGGGGGGAGAGCTACAGGTACCCAGCTCTGAATGGGGAAGACAGAGGGCACTTAGGAGGCCAGTAGTGGCCGCACAGCAGGGACCACTGTGGGCCTGGTCTGCATATGAGGCTTCAGGGACCAAGGGGGCCAACGGGAAAGCAGGACATCTCAACATCTCACCCTGTGTTTGCAGCCGGAGTCCTTGAAGGGACACAGCACCAGGGCGGTGCTACAGCTCTCCTTCAGATGGCCAGGCAGGTCCTCCCGAGCCACCGTGCCCACACCACACTGGTTGGGGCAGGGCACGGGCAACCTCGGGCACTGGTACTGGTGGCTCTGTGGCCACAGAGGCAGAGAAACAGGGATCAGTAGCTCGATTCCCCACTCCCTGCCCGCCCCACGCCCACACTCGGGAAGGGCCGGACCTGGATTGTGTCAAAGACGAACTCCTTGGTGCAGTAGGTACAAGGCTGGGTGCGCTTGGGGCACTCGGAGGCAGCGTGCTGGGCCAGCAGGCGCCGCATCATGCGGGCACCACACTTGTTCTCACAGTACACGCTTTCTTGGGGGCACACGCCCTCGTGGCTCTGCGGGAAGGCCAGAAAGGCCGAGTTGAGGGATCCCTGGGCTACCAGGTGCCCGACTCTCCCCCTGCCCTTCACCAGGCCCCTCTCACCTCAAAGGCCTCCCCGCTGAAGTCACAACCACAGAACTCGCACTTGAGGCGCCGCTTGGGGCAGTCGTGTTGCAAGTGTGCCGGCAGATCCCGGCGGCTCAGCTTGGTGGGGCAGCGATTGGGGCAGGGGATGACATTGAAGCTGCATGTATTCAGATGACTCTAGGGGGTGGGGGGAGGCAGTTAGTGCCAGCCGGCAAAGGGGTTGTTCCCTGCCCTCCCCACCAGAGACTCACCTGCAGGTGCCGGAGCGGCCCGCTCCAGCGGCAGCCCTCCTCACTGTGGATGCAGCGGATCGCCAGGCTCAGCACCTGCACCTCCAGCTCCGGGTCTGGGTAGATCTGAGTGAATGCAGAGGAACTGGTCAGGGTCAGAGCCTGCTACAGGCCCCAGTTACCACTCCCACCGCCCCCACCACCCCCACCACTCCCAGACAGGCTAGCTCTACCTTAGAGTCAGTAACGGGTTCGCTGGAGCTGCATTCCCCTCTGTGCCCAGAGAGAAAAGGCCCAGCAGGTGGTATCTGCTCCACAGCTGGACACCAGGGTCTCCAACATGCCTGCACAGGACACTCCCTCTGGAGTAGCCAATCAGCCTGCTCAGTTCCAGGCAGCCCCCACATCCTCTGCTTCCTTCCTCCTGGTAGAGGGGTCCTGGCCCTCAGCCAGTGGTCTGGCTTGCCCCCAAAGGGGAGGGGGAGCCCTTCTTCTGGGCACAGAGCAGCTCTGTGCACCCCCACAGGCTGGGCATTGTGCCTACCCTCCAGGGCAAACACTGGCCTCATTTGCAAACTGGCCCGGTGGGAGGGAAGAGGCCACCTTTGTGGGGGCATGATTCCACGGTACAGGGTTGACATTGGCCCTGAGCCGACCAGCTGCCAGCAGCTCCAGCCTCCACCAAGGGCAAAAGCCTGTAACCTGGGCCTCTGCCTGGCACTGTGGACTCACCTTGGCATAGTCCAAAGGAAGTTGGTCCTCAGGGCATTTGAAGACTCCTTCACTGTGAAGGGGGAGGGGCAGGGTCAGCCTCCAGCTATGGGAAGGGAGAACCCAGGCCCCACCCCCTCAACCCGGGCAGCCTCACTCCCTCTCTAGACCTGTTCTCAGCCAGAGGCCTGTGGGTACCCACTATCCCCAGAACCCCAGAAGATCCTAGCTCTTGTCCTGGATAGAGGGGTTCTGGGCCCCGTGGAGGCAGCCAGCTGCCTCAGACAGCATTTGGCCGACAGGTGGCAGCTGGTACCCCTCCCCCCCAGGAGGGCAGCTGGACTGGAAAAGGCACAGGACACCTGCCCTCTCTCCTCTCACTGGCTGATGGTGGAGGGGTTCGGGGATGGGCTGAGATTAAATTGCAGGGCTGCCCAGCCCCCATTAGTGCTCTAGTCCAAGAACCCAGGTCAAAGGTCAGTTTGGGGCCAGTTTACCCTATCCCTTCCCTCCTCCCACAAGGGTGTGTCTTCTAAAGCAAAGAAGAGAGGCTCACTCGGAGGCACTTGTTTACACTCCCATCCAGTCCTACCACCTGCCTCTGGGAAGGGGCTACGTGCCTCCATTTTGCAGATGAAAGAACAGAGACCCACAGCAGAAGCAGCACCTGGATGTCTGACTGATTCCAAACCTCATATAGGTTCTACTACACTGTACACACAGACAAGAGGCAGGGGCAAGAAAAACCATCCAGCTGGGCACAGCCAAGACTCTGGTCACCACACGGCATGCACTGGAAGCTTTCTGACCTTGCACCAAGGAACCTGTTGGCACACCTCCTTCCGCCAACAGGGCCTTGCTGACCCTAGCCAGGACCAGTCACACATGTCTGGTGTGGCCTAGGCAGGGCAAGGGCTCACCGGTAGGACTTCAGGCATAGCATTCCTGGCAGATGTGAGTCAGGGAGGTGGGAGGCAGAAATCAAGGCGGAAGCGGAAGCCACATGGCTGCCCTGTCCACAATGGTACTTTGTAGGACATGGGCAGCCCAAAGGATTTCTAGCACCCACCTCCTTACCCCACTACCACCACTGACCATGCCACCGATGGCAAGAACAATACATGTCCAGGCACTGAAGAGGTGTGCCCATGCCCACAGGGCAACCAGCCTTCCTGGACCAACCTGAGTAATAGCCCTGGCAGGAGTGGGGAAAGAGGGGTGGGCCACCGGGGAGGGGTCTGCCTGGCTGCTCCAGGAATGTGCTGATTTAGAGGTTTTGGAGACAGGGAGGGGACTAAGGCAAGTTCCCAGGCTTCAGGCAGATTAGCCCGAGCAGCTTGGGGCCCAGCCAGGACAAAGGTTCAGACGGGGCTATGGACACCCTTGCTTGTAGGGTAGGGGGTGGTGAGGGAGAGAGCCTGTTCAACCACTTCTTTCCTTTGGGGGCCTCAGCTGCACAGCTCAGGCGCTGGGAGGGGGGGCAGAGAGGCCGGGCCAGAGATTGCTCCAGGCTGTGCAGTGGAGGCCCAGACCCAGGGGAGAAAACAGGATGGGGGGAGGGGCTGTGGGAGAGGAAGAGGGGATTTCCGGGAGGGGGAGGGGCAGGAGCTGGGGAGAGGGGCAGAGGAGGCGGAGGGAAGCCGCCTGACAGCCCCCTCCTCTGCTCCCTTCCAGGCAGTCAGGGTGGGTCAGCTGCGAGTGGGGGCAGGGGCTCAGCTGGCCTCATCTGGAAACCAGAGGGCCGGGAAGGGCACCGCAAAAGACAATGGGACTGTGTGTCTGTAGGGGAGTATGTGTGTACAGTGGAGGGAGGAGGGAGGAGGGTGAGGGTAAGGAGGAGGGGGCAGCACAGCAGCTCTCACAGGAGCATATGTGAGGGCAGGAGCCGGCCCAGGCTGTGGGGAACTGAAAACAAAGGGCCTGCTGAGATTTCCGCCAGCTAGGGGCTGCGGAGGGCTGAGAGGCGGAGGGGGGAGCACTGAGGCAGGAGCCCCAGAAGTGCTCCCTGCCTGCGCCCCTAGGTCCCCTCAGCAAACAGCCTCCAGACAGCTTTCCCTTGTGCTCTGGGGCACGGCCTCCACAGAAGTGGGGGCTCCCTCATCTCGCCTTCCCACACCGGGCCCGAGCAATTCCCAGCAAAAGAGTTTTAGATTCAAGACACCGCGGAGCGCCCAAAACTCAACAGATGCCCCAGAGCCAAGGGGTCATCCGGATCCCCGGGTCAGTAACATGCAGGGTGCGACCCCCTCTCTGACGATTTATCAGAGCACCCCTGGTACTCAAGAGCCCCAGTGGCGAGGAGGGGCACCCCAGGGGCCCAGTGCTTCAGGGGCGATCTGTAGCGTCACTATCCTCCCTCTGCTGTTCGACCAAAAGCAGCCCAAAAGCAGCCGGGGCTTAAATCCCAGCTAACCCTTTAAGGGACTGTGTGACCGTAGGCAAGTCGCGGCCCTTTGAATCTCTTGTTTCACCATCTGTGAAATGGGAGAACAAAAGCTGCCATTCTCGGATTGTTCTTAGAATCGGAAGAGGTTAGATGGGCGGAAACTCCAGAGGCTTAAGGCGCGGCGCCGGCAGAGGGTTCGGCCTCCCTTCCCGTATGGATTCAAAGTTCAAGGATGCGGCCGCTCCGGCTTGCGGGGGGCGGGGGGCGGGGGGCGCGGCCCCGGGCGAGAAGGAGCTTCTCCCTCCACCACCCCGCCGGCTGGCACGGAAGGCTTCCGACCCCGCGCGGCCGCCGGCCGGGCCCCCGGCCCCTTCGGATTAGTGCGTGGGGTCCTCCCTCGGGGTCTGACGTCACCGCCTCCGCCGTGACGTCACGGCGGGCGCCCTTGAGATCACGGAGCCGCGGCGCAGACAAAGGCCCGGCGTGCCTCCGGCCTGGGCCCCTCCCCAGGCGCCGTCCCCCCTCGTCCTCGCCCCCGGCCGCTGCCCGCCCGCCCCCGGCCCGCACCTGAGGAACTCCTGCAGGCAGGTGTCGCAGAAGCGGTGGCCGCAGGTAGAGACCTGCACAGGCTCGCGCATGGGCTTCCCGCACAGCGGGCACAGCAGCCGCCGCTTGGGCTTCTCCAGGAACTTGTAGTCGAAGCCAGGCATGGCGGGCGGGCGGCGGGCACGGGCAAGCGGGGCCGGGCACGCGACGGCCCCACAGCCCGCGCCTCGCTCCGGCCGCGCTCCCGGCTCCGGGCGGCGCCGACTGGCGGCCGCGGCCTGCGCCCAGCCCCCGAGCCCGCGCGCCCGCCCGCCGGAAGAGGGGGTGGAGCCGCGCCCGCGCGGTCCTAGCGCCCGCTGCACCCAGCTCCCGCCCACCTCCCGGGCTCGAGGCTCCGGGGTCCGCGGGCCGCCAGCCTGGCGCCCTCCACCGCGCACCGGCTCCTCTCTCCCTCCGGGAAGAGAGATCGTGGCTTCGCTTCCTTCTCCCCAGGGCTGGAGGGGCCCTGAGGCTCGATAGGGCGGAGGGCCCCGGCGGCTGGGCCCGGCCGCGCCACAAAGGTTCGCTTCTCCAGAGTCGATGGCTCTGTCTCGGTCTCCGGGGGCCACGTGTCGCCCTGAGGCCCGGGACTCCAGCTTGCAGGTGCTAGGCAGCCGAAGCCTGGCAACCAGATCTGGGGAGCTCGGCTGGCGCGGAGAAGCTGGCCTGGGCGCTGGGCCAGAGGAACCTCGGCCCCAGCCTCAGGCTGCGCCCACATTCCTCCCTGGACCTCGGCCCTGCCCAGCCCTGGGGTGTCGGGCCGCCACCCCACCCCTGAAGAGACCACATTCTAGGCAGGCAGCTGATGTTTTTATTGGCGCGATTTCCCAGTCATCTGGAAATTGGTCAGGCCCAGCCAGCTACCCTTTCGCCCAGCCTGCTCTGGGGGAATGGCTGGGGTGAAGGAAACCTTCAACAGGGATCCCCCTCTGCAGTAGACACTGGTGCGCTTGCAGATGCACTCCCAGTCCACTCAGAAGTTGTGCAAATCTAAGCCTCAGGGTATCAGAGTCAGGGTGGGTGGTAAGGCTCCCTGCCCCAGGCAATGCAGAAGCTAGGTGGCCAGAATGGCCAGTCTAGACAGGACTGGGCTTGCCCTGTTCCACAGCACTGTGCTGCTCTCCCAGGGGGCACTATCGGCTTATTTGTCTAAGTGGGCAGGGGAAAAGAGTAGGGTCTGGGTGAAGCCACAGCCAGCAGCCTCCAGCTTTTTTCTGCCCAGACTCGAGACCACCCTGCTTCCATAGGTTAGGTCTGGTTTCTGACTCTAGCCAGGCTGGACCTTGGGGACACCAACTTAAAAGGGGTAGGGAGAGAAAGGGAGATGTTGGGAAACAGGGTGGGTTAAGGTTTACAGATCCAGGGCCAAAAGAGAGTGGGCGCTTCACTGGTTGGTATACCTCGCTGAGTACCATCCAGGGGGCGCTGGTGGGGACAGTCTTGCTGCAGGCATCTGCAGTTTTTGAGAGTGTTCAGAGGAGAAGCAATATCAAGGTGGTCCCAAGATGTATCTAGGTCCCTCACGGTGGAACTGGCTCATCTGTAACCGCTGGAGGGTAAAAACAAGAAACCCGTGCAGCCACCCAGAGGGCATCGTTTACAGCAAGGGATACCCACCTCCGCTCCCACTCCCATGATGGGCCCTGGACTCTGGACCCTGACGGGTGGGAAACAGGTTCAAACTAAACTGGACTGGTGGTAGGAGAAAGAATACATTTGGGCCCTGGAAAGTACTGGGAGCAGCCATCTCTTCAGGGAGACGGAAGAAACAAACTCCCTTGGCCTCCCTAGGCAGGAAGCTGTTTCAGCCTGCAGCTTTTGCTTTATCTGGAGGCTTAAGATGCTTTTAGCGACTTGGGCTGTGGCCACTGGGGAATGGGAGTGTGGGCAGGGACTCGCTGGATTAAACCTTGTGCAGGTGAGGTGGGAAAAGTTGTAACTCACGGCGAACAGCTAGTAGAGTGTTTCCATGGCAACAGGACACAGAAGTCACTGTGTAGGGGTGTATCTCATCCAGCTGCACTGGCCGAGGGAGTCCAGCATCCTCATCCCTTCTGCCTAGTCGACCTCGGGCCCCTTTGCCCCATGAGTACACTTCACCTTCTGCAAAAAGAGAATCCCAAGGAGGGAAACAGGAGGACACAGCTTAGGTGGCTACCCTCCTGGATTGCCGTATTGGCCCCAATAGGAGGTTCAGCAGTCCCGAGAAGGATACCCCCCACTGCCCAGGGGCCTGCCCATACCCCTGTCTGTGCCCAGAGTGCCCACTAATCAATCACCTGCCCCAACGGCTACAGTGAAGGCATCCCCACAGGCTACCATTGCTATCTTGATGTTCTGCAGGCCTTGGACTTGACAAGGTGCCCGGCTGACCCGGCGGGCATTAGTGCCCAGCTGCCCATGCTGATTGCTGCCAAAAGTATAGCAGTCACCAGAGGCTGTAGGGGAGGGAAGAGGAGAGAAAGGGGTACCTCAGCTGAGATCCCAAGGCGGCCAGTGGAGTCCACCTGTGGACAGGAGTGTCCCCCTGTGCCAGGTCCTACTCACCAGTCACGGCAGCTGAATGAGCAGTGCCCAGGTCCACGCTGAGCAGGGGCTCCCGGTCAAAGGGTGCAGAACCTAGTGGTGTGAAGCTCAGGGCCTCCTCCACCTGCTGGTTGGGGGCAGGCTCCTCCCCCAGGGAGAGGGGGTCCAGGCCCAGCTTGTTGAACCTGAAAGTGGAGCCAGAAGCCAATTTCAACGGTCAGTTTGCATAGACCCTCCAGACCCCACCAATCTGGGCAAGAGCTGGTCACCAGGGGCAGATCCCACCCTGGGTTGAATCAGCAGGTCTCTCAGCCCCACCCTCAGTTCTGACCCTTGATGGAAGGTAGGCAATGACAGATGAAGCATTAGCAGCCAGGGAGCGGCAGAGGGCAGGCCAGTGCACCAATCTACCTGTTACTCCCGCAGGCCAGGGCTCTGCCAGGTACAGTGAGGATCATGGAGGAGTCAATGCCACATACAACCCGCTGGGCTTCCTGTCCTGGGGGCATGGACACCTGCTGGGGGCAGCTGTGGGACTCCCTGGTGCCCAGTCCCAGCCGGCCTACAAGGAGAAACCAGGAGGGGGCTAGTTTTAGAGTTGGTGATGCCAAGATGAGGGGGAGCCACGGACAGGAGGTGACCACATGAGTGAAGGCTGTGCCCTCAGCCTGAAATACCTACCCCTGGGCCCTCTGTGGTCAAAACCCTACTCCTCCTTAAGGCTCTGTTCAGATGTCACCTCTGTCTCGTCCAGGGAAATCCCATGCCACTCCTTGGATTCCCACATCTCTGTACCTTGGGGGGAGCCCTGATGCTGTCTGTCCTTTATTATAGGGAGATGTCATTTCTCCCCTCTGAAAGACAGTAGGACTGAGTCTGCCAGGAGGACAGAGACCCCATGTAAGTCCTCTCAGCATGACATCTGACCCAGAGGGGGTCCCGTTAAGACTGTCAGATGAGAGAAACCTCATTACATCACAAGCACCTGAAGGAAGTGACTCTTGTTCATCTTGTCTCTCTGCATCCAGCCCCGGGAAGGGCTCATAGTAGATATGCAGTTAAGTTGTGTAAGTTGTGTTTAGGGAATAAATGAATGGGATGGGAAGAGAAAAGAGGGATAATGGGCCATGGGGTGGAAGGTAGGTATGGAGAGGAATGAATCCTGGTCAGGGTGCTGTGAGATGGAGCCGAGAGGCTAGAACAGGGTGTAGAGCTTACCACCATCTCCGCGGCCCCAGGCAAAGAGTTCTCGCTCAGTGGACAGTGCCAGCACATGAGATGCCCCACAGGCCACCTGCACCATCTCATAGCCCAGCAGGGCCTCCACAATGGTGGGCTAGAGGGAAGGGGGAAGCAAGAGAGACTAAGCAGAAGGTCTGGACTAGCTGCCTGGCCGTCAGCCTCCCGTGAAGGGAGAAGCTGGAGGCTGCAAATTTCTCATGAGCAGCTGTTTCTTTAACTGCCCTCCCCCTTCCCCCCCCCCCCCCACATACACTGCAACCACTAGGGAAGCCTGGTCTTTCTGTACTTCCCCTAGGTTGCCCAGAGCAGGTGCAGCCTGGGAGCCAGAGGGACTTGTGGTTGCTGGGGATCCCCTGCCCCCAACTTGGGAGTCAACTATCAGATATCCATCTCCCTACTTCCTCCTCCCCAGGGTACCTGTTACACCCACCTGGCTGATGTCATTGAGGCTTCCATGGCCCAGACACCCATTGCTGCCACTGCCGAAGGTCATGATGATACCTCGGTCTGGAGAGGGGGTGGTGAGGAAACAGAAGGGGGAGGGGTTGGGCTTCCAGATAGGCCAGTCACGTGTTAGAGGGGCAAGAAGTTAGAAGCAAAGGTTGGAAGAATGGGACAGGAAGTAGAAAAAGGACAGGAGTGTCTCAAGTGTGTGTGTGGACAGGTAACAGCCTTTGAGCTTTAGATCTGAGCCTACCTCAAATGAGGATAATATACAGTAACTACCTGGCCAGGGCTGTTGTGGAGGGTAAAGGAGATTGTGTCAGTAAACCACCTGGTGAGGGATAAATGGGGCATCCAGGTGGCTCAGTCAATTAAGCCCCTGACTCTTGATTTCTGCTCAGGTCATGATCTCAGGGTCCTGATATCTAGCCCCACATCAGGCTCTGCACTCAGCAGGGAGTCTGCTTAAGATTCTCTCACCCTGGGATCCCTGGGTGGCTCAGCCTTTGAGCAACTGCCTTTGGCCCAGGGCGGGATCCTGGAGTCCTGGGATCAAGTCCCACATTGGGCTCCCTGCATGGAGCCTGCTTCTCTCTCTGCCTACATCTCTGCCTCTCTCTATGTGTGTCTCTCATGAATAAATAAATATAATCCCCCCCCAAAAAAAAATTCTCTCACCCTCTGCCCTGGGCCCCTGACCCAGCAGGCACGCATGTGCTCTCTCTCTAAAAATAATTACATCTTAGGGGATCCCTGGGTGGCTCAGCGGTTTTGCGCCTGCCTTTGGCCCAGGGCGCGATCCTGGAGTCCCGGGATCGAGTCCCGCATCGGGATCCTGGCATGGAGCCTGCTTCTCTCTCTGCCTGTGTCTCTGCCTCTCTCTCTCTCTGTCTCTCTATCATAAATAAATAAATCTTTAAAAAAAGAAAAAAGCATTAATGAGGAAATGACAACCAATGAGGGAAGTTGCTCTGGGGAGCCCTCTCAGACTCTGTGCGATGCCCTGGATGGTCCTCTGATGGACTCACCGGTCAGGCAAGCAGTGAAGAGGTCCCCACAGGCCACGTGCTTGATAGTCACGCCTGACTGGCCCTCCAGGAAACGGGAGACAAACTGGGGCTGCTGCTGCTCCACGGCCCCGGGCAGAAGGGCGCCCCCTCCGGCGCCTAGGGGCGGGGCCTGCCCGAGGTAGGGGGTGGTGTGAGCGGCGCCCGAGCGCGCCCCCTCCCGAGCGCGCCCCCCTCGCCGTCCAGGTGCCCGCCCCAGCCTGCTCACCTCCCACAGAATGAGGCGCCCCGAGCGCGTGACGCCGGCCTTCTGCGTGCGTCCAGCTGCCACCTGCACCACTTCTGTGTTGAGCATCGGCAGCCGCAGAGGGGCGCTGAGCCCGCAACCCCACGCGTAAACCGACGACAGCGGTGGCGGAATGGCCGGCCGGCCGGGTCCCCGGGGTATGCCTGAGGGACGGCGCATTGGGCCTGTTAAACTGGTGGGAATGGCCTGGCATCAGTGGGCTTGGCAGTGTGCCCCGACTTACCCCTGCAGCGGGCGCCGGCGCTCCTGCTCCCTGTGCTGCCGCCGGGGGCCATGGGTGGCCCGGGGACCAGAGACTTCTCTGCCCTGTGGGTCAGATGGGGGTGCTTTAGGACAAGGACCATTCCTGGTGCTTCCACACACTGAAATGGAGGACTTGCCCTGAGCTCCCACTGCCCCAGGTTCATTGTGCTCCCCCTGGTGTCCCACTGCGGCCCAGAGCCCCCTCCCCTGCTCCCTGCACAGGCCTCCTCATGCGGACACTGCCCAGGTCGGTGTGAAGGTTGAGGAGGGCACGGATGCAGAGGGGCTGTGCCATGATGTGGCTGAGTGGTGGCCGCTGTGAGGGCTCCAGGCTGAGCAGACTGAGGACCAGCTGGCGTAGCTCAGGGCTGTACCGGTCAGAGATGGGTGCAAAGGTGCCACTCATGATCTTCAGCACCAGTGCTGGCAGGTTCTGTGAAAGCACCAAGAGTGAGGTTGGCCAGAGCCTGGGCCATGCTCTTGGGAGGGGGGGTGGCAGCACCCCCAGCAAGTCTAATGGAGTGGTCATAGCCCCGCACTCAGAAATTTCATTCTGATGAGGGGACTCCCAGTGATAGGAACTCCTGACAGAGGTGCTGCATCTGTGGCCTCAGAAACCCTAGGTTGTTGGGAGAATTCAAGTCTTACCCTAGGAGGGTCCCTAACCTGATAGGAGAGCCTCAGTTTAATGGGGAACCCAAGCCCCACCTTCAGGAACACATAGCCTGAAGGAAGCCACAGCCCTGCCCCGGGGTAATCTACCAGTCAGGTGAGGGGAACATCTTAACCAAGAACTTCCAGAGGAGGTTTCCCAATTGTCTCTTTGGGGGTATAACTCACTGCAGCTTCAAAGGCCCTCTTGAGACTGGCCAGCTCATAGAGGACACAACCCAGGGCCCAGATGTCACTCTTCTGATTGTAAGGCTTGCCCTCACACAGTTCAGGGGAGATGTAGCACGGGGTGCCCACCACCTGCAGGAGGGAAGCAGATATTATTATAGCTCAGGGGAGGGAAGGCTCTGTGCGGGGCCCACTGGGAAGCTGCCTCTCCCTAAAGCAGGCAAAGTGCTTCCTCCTGCAGGACCACCCAGTCACGGAAAAGGGGCCAAGGTCTTGGGGAGGGAGGGGGGTTGGGATGCAGAGTGGGCCTTGGCCCTCAAAACCTCCAGCACCCTTAAGGTCCCCTCTGTGCCCAAGCACCGTGTAGGCCTTGCTCTTGCTACTAAGGATCTTGGAGATGCCGAAGTCACCAATCTTGACAACCATGCGGTGTTTGTCAAGAAGGATGTTTTGAGTCTTGAGGTCCCGGTGCAGGATGAGATGGGTATGCACATGATGCAGTGCCAGCAGGATCTGCACAAAGAAATGCAGGATGGTCTCCTCCTCTAGCAAGGAATTACAGCGCTTTTGGATGAACTCAGCCAGGGTGCCACCTGCAGCCACAAGGAACTAGTTACGATCTAGGCTGTCCCAGGCATGGAGCTCTTTTTATAAAACTAACAGTCCAGACAGGGCAAGGGCCTGCCAGCCTTACACAACTGGCGTGAGAACTCTACCTCTGACCCTTGGTCAAACCCATTCTGAGAAGGGTAGGCAGCTGATCTGTGTCTGCCAGTCCCAGAGGTGAGAGGCCCTCAGAGCCAGGTCAGTGCAAGGAGGCTGGCCCACCTGGTGCATATTCCATGGCAATCATGAGGGCCTTGTCCTCCAGGAAGTTCTCATAATACTCAATGACATTGGGGTGGTTGAGTAGTTTGAGGACCTGACACTCATTTTGGGCTGCTTGCCGCTCTTCTTTGGTCATCTGCTCCACTGGGATCTGCTTGATGATCACCAGCTTCTGGTCGGCCTTGCGCAGGCACAGGTGCACAATCCTGGGGACACAGAGTACAGGGGTGGGCACCAGCTGAGCCTCCCACCACTCATCAGGCAGGGCAGACCTGGCCCCCAGATGTTACTTAGGAGAGGGGAGTTGGTGGGGCACCTGGGTGGCTCAGTTGGTGAAGCATCTGCCTTTGGCTCAGGTCATGATCTCAGGATCCTGGGATCGAGCCCCAAGTTGGGCTTCCTGCTCAGTGAGGAGTCTGCTTCTCTCTCTCCCTCTGCCCCTCCCCTCCACTTGTGCTCCCTCAAATAAATAAAATATATATTTTTTAAGATTTTATTTATTTATTCATGAGAGATACAGAGAGAGAGATAGGCAGAGACCTAGGCAGATGGAGAAGCAGACTCCCTACAAGGAGCCCAATGTGGAACTCGATCCAGTATCCTGGGATCATGGCCTGCCTGGGCCAAAGGCAGATGCTCAACCGCTGAGCCACCCAGGTGTCCCAAATAAATAAAATCTTAAAAAAAGGATGAGAATGGGCACCAAGATTAACAGGTCTGTAATTAAATGCATAGAACACTGAGTTTAAGAACCGGGAGAACTGACCACAAACTCTGTGTGAGACCTTAGGCAAGTCATTTAACTTATCTGAGACTCAGTTTCATCACAGGCAGTGTGACATTAGTCTTGATCTTCATAAGTTCCCATAGACTTTGGAGTTAACTGCCAGGCTCAAATCCTGGCTCCTGCTCTTACTACTCACCTAGTTATCGACTATATGACATTTACATCTGGAAGATAAAAACAATTTCCCTCGGTTGTTGAGAGGATCAAATGAGAAAATGCATGTAAGAACAAAAAAGAGAAAAGAAAGAAAGAAAGAAAGAGAGAAAATGCATGTAAGGCACTTAGCACAGTGCTTGGCACATCAGAAATGCTCAGTGAGTGGAAGCCGTTCATACAATTATTTTCTTTCAACTCTAGTCAGTGTCCATAAAAGCAGGGTTCTTGTTCTCCTTTTTAACTATATCCCCAGATCATAGCCCAATGTTTAGCTCATAATAAGAGCTCAATGAATATCTGCTGAATGAATGGACTGTAAGAGGATCAACTAAGTATCAAATTTGTATTTCCAACTCAGACCTCTCCTCTGAGACCCAGACTCAGAAATCCAACTACTTGCTTTGCATTTCTACCTGAACTGCTTGCAAACATCCAAAATTTTAACAAATTCAAAATAAAACTTTTGATTTCCGCCCCCAAGCCCTTTCTTTTTTTTTTTTTTTTTTTAAGATTTTATTTATTTTTTCATGAGAGACACAGAAAAAGAGGCAGAGACAGAGGCAGAGGGAGAAGCAAGCTCCCTGCAGGGACCACGATGCAAGACTCTATCCCAGGACCCCGGGATCACGACCTGAGCGAAAGGCAGATGCTCAACCACTGAGCACCCAGGTGCCCCCTCCCAAACTCTTTTCTTCCTTAGTCTCTTCCATCTTAGTAACTGACACCACCATTAAAGTCAGACACCTGAAAATCATCCCAAAACCTTTCCTCCATTTCACAGCAACGTATCAATAAATCCTGTTTCTATCTGCAAAATATTATGAACTCATCCATTTCTGACTTCTGCTATACCCTTGTCCAAATCATTATTTCTTGCCTAAAATACTGCACTAGCCTTTAAAATTATGCCTTTTACTTTCGGCATCCTCAACTCTAAGTTCCACACAGCAGCCAGGGTGACATTTTAAAAACGCAAATCATATGAAGACCATTCTGCTGAAAGCTCTTCTCTTTACACTTCAAATAAACCCAATCTCTTTACCTCAGCCTATAATGCCATAATCTGTCCTCTGTGACAATCACATTTTATACCATTATTTTTTATATATACTATTCTTTTTTTTCCCCCTCAAGGTTTTATTTATTTATTTGGCAGAGAGGGAGCGAGAGCGCAAGCAGAGAAGTAGCAGAAGGAGAGACAGGCTCTTCACTGAGCAGGGACCCCTGTGCTGGCTCTATCCCAGGACTCAGGGATCATGACCTGAGCCGAAGGCAGACGTTTAACCAACTGAGCCACCCAGGCGCCCCTTTATATACCATTCTTGACCTTGCCCGCTGCATTCCAACTTCACCAGTCTTTTTCTCAGTTCCTTGAATACTCTGAATTCCTTTCCACGTGAGGATATGCTGCTTCCTCTGCCTGAAAAGCTCTGCCTTCACCTTTGGATTACTGGTTTTCATTTCTCAAGTCGTGGCTTTAAACTTCACTTCTCAGGGAAATTTTCCTTGACCACCCCAAATAAATACTCCCTGGCGTATTCCAGGCTCGCAGCTTGTTAATAACTTTTAATTACTTGTTTATTGTATTATTTTACTACAGTCTGTGAGCTCCGAGAGGGAAAAGACACTCTTATTTTGGTCTTTACTATTTACGCGTCGTCGGGAGCGTGCAGAGCCCATAGAGCCGGGGCTCAAGATTTGTTGAATGAACTAGTCAGGAATCAAAGAACAGAACTCTGCGGGGGCGCCGAGGCGCGTCGGGGCGTGACCTCGCGAGAGGCGGAGTCTCCCCGCCCGGACCGGGACCGGAAGCGAGGGCAGGGCTTTCCAAGGGGGCGCTCACGCCCCGGGGCGGGGCTAACCGGGCAGCTCATTCGCGGTCAGAGCTGGGGCTTACTTTCCCTCTCCCCGACCATTTTCCTTCCCCAGACCCCTGGCTCACCCGAAGGCACCTCTCCCCACCACTCGGATCCGCTCGTACTTCTCCATCTTATTTCTCAGAGTCACATTTCCGGAACCCCCCCACGCCCCGATGCGGCGCGTGCGCGGACCCGCCCACTCAGGACCACGCCCCCTACACTGCAAGATAATTGCGGGGCGGAGCAAGTGAGATTGAGGTGGGTTCAGCTTTGCATCTGTCTGTGCTGTTTACACAGTCCTTGCAGCCCCCGCCCACAGTTGCCTTTTCAGGGTCCCAGCAGTGGGGTGTTATGCCATTTTTGGCGCCTAGGACAGGACCAGCCACTGCCTAAAAACAGGTATGCATCTGGCCCTCGCAAAGCAAGCATCCACTGAGCGGAGGGGTGCCCTGCACAACCAGCGAGGTTGGAAAGCGACGACTGACCTCTCTCAGCCCACCTCTTTGCCCACTAGTGATGCTATTTCGGAAGGAGAGCAGATTCTCACTGGCACTCAAATGATCAACTACCAAAACTGTACCAAGAGCATCAGCACTCTCGGTCTGTGGGGCAGGGTGCCGGGTTAGTTTCGTGTGTGCCTAGGTAGGGACCTGGGAAACCCCAAGCTGTGCAAATTGATTCACCTAGGGATGTGGAAACTCCAGGCTGTCCCAGCTAGTGAGCACCGCGCTCGCCAGCACTTTCATCACTCCTCCTGCCCCCACACACCAACACACAACTTGGCTGCAGGCCATCGCCTTCAAGGCTCAACTGTGGGGAGAATCTGCGAGGCGAGGCGGAGAGAAGATGAGAGAAGTAGACCACTATCTGAGAGCATCAGAGAGAGGAGGAAGGAGAGCTGTTTGACCCATGTGGGTTCAAGGCTCCTGCCTAAACTGTAGGGGGCTGGTTAGTATGATCATCTAGGGTCTTGACTGGAAGTGAGTTTAATTCCTGTTGTCTCCTTGGGCCTCCTGCTCTGCGACCTCCATAAAAAGCTCGGTTAAGGAGTAAGAGGATGGTGATTAGCTAAGGGACAGCGTCCCTATTTCTGAGTGGGCGAGGAATGGGAGGAAAGCAGTGTTTACGTTCTGTCCCGCCCAATCCCTCAAAAGGGTACTCAAACCTGCCCACGTGGAAAGACCACTAGAGGGGCCCCACGAGGGGCCCTGGGTCGCTGGCTCAGGCTGCTGTTGGCTGATGAACAAAGCTGCCCTGTGAGCAAAAGAGAGCTCAGAGGGGGAAAGCCACTCAACCCGGGAAACTCGTGCTCTCACCTAGAAACCAGTAGAGCCGTGGTTGACCCAGAAGCCCCACAGGGGTTAGTTAATATGTAATCTTGGAGCCATCAAAGGAGGCAGAACAAACACCCAAACCTCTTGGTCCCTGGGTCTCCGACATCTCAGGCTTCTAGCTTTCCTTCCCTCTCGCAGCATCTTCCCCCCCCCCCCACCTCACCACCCCCCATCCAACTACTCCCTTCCTCTCCTTTACCATCCCCAGCCTTGGATTCTCAGCCTTTCCTCCGTTTGCACCTCGTACGTTTGGAGGCGGGAGGGGGATCCCGCGCCAACGTGGGGATAGGCTGACACCTAGTGACCACGAGCTGCAACCGCTCCAGACCACTGGCCTCGAGTAAGGGTTACGCCAGTAGCCCGTGCAAATCGGAGGTCTCCCTCATGCCAGCCCAAAGGAGCCAGAAAAGCCGGGTCTGTCTGAGGGAGGATTGTGACAACCGCTGGGCCCCAGTAGCCCAAGAGCGGGCTGGGAAGAGGGGTGGTGCTGGATTAGTCGACCCTTCCTAGGCACCACGTCGATGAGGGGCACCTAGAGGCTGATAAACAAGTCCGTCTCGGGCCTGAAGAAGCCAGAGATCCGGTGGCAGAACAGGGTATGGGCGGAGACCATTATCGAGGCGGGGCTCGGAGCGCTTCGCCGGACCTGGGCTTAAAGGACGCGGGTGTGTGGCGGGCCCCGCCCCGCTCTGCCCAGAAAGGAGTTGAGGGCGGAGAGAGTTCTCTCAGCACCCGCCCAGGCGGGGGAGCCGGTCGCCCCGGGGAAAGTGGGAACGCCGGTGAATGAGGCCAAGCAAGCGAGGCTGGACTCTTGGCAGTCGAGAGGCGCCAGCGAGGGGTACCGCGGCGGCGGCGTCCCCAGGACAGCCCCTTTTCGCCCGAAGTCCGCGGGAGCCAGGCGGGGCCCGGGGGCTCCGGGGAAAGGGGGCTCTCGCCCTGGCTGCTGCCGAGGCACCGGAGGGGCGGGGCGGGGCGGGGCGGGGCGGGGGCGGCTCGGGGCGGGGGCAGAGACCGGCGGGGTGCGAACGAGAGCAGCGCTGGGGCGCTGGGGCCTAGAGGGCTCAGCGAAAACTGAGGCTGGCGGCCGGCGGGGAGGCGGCCGGGGTGAAGTGGGCCGACAGGATCCCGGTTTCCTGAGCAGTCCAACGAGGCCGGCTAGGGGGCAGACAGACAGACGGCAGAGAGGGCCAGCATGCCCCCACTGCTGCACCCCGCCCTGCCGCTGCTTCTGGGCGCCACGCTGACCTTCCGGGCGCTCCGGCGCGCGCTCGGCCGGCTGCCCCTGCCCGCGCACGTGCGCGCCGACCCTCTGCGCACCTGGCGTTGGCACAACCTGCTCGTCTCCTTCGCCCATTCCATTGTGTCCGGGATCTGGGCGCTGCTGTGGTGAGTGAAGGACTGGGGGAGTGAAGGTGGGTGGCTAGGGGAGCCCACGTTATCCTCGGCATCACTCTCTGGCAGGCTCAGGCCAAGCGGTTTCACCCTGACTCTGTTCGGAAAGCTCTCCAGCTAGGAACGGCAGAGGTCCCCGGGGGAGGGGGAAAGCTCATCTAGGAACCGGGAGATAACCTGGATTTCAGCCAAGCCTCTCCTCACTTCCACTCGGCCAATAACGCGAGCCCATATTCCCTGGGGACCGGGAAGGGTAATGGGGGGAGTAGAGGGTCCTCGGGGATGCCGAGATGTGAGCTTGCCGTCTTCCCTCCCAGTGTATGGCAGACCCCCGAGATGCTGGTGGAGATTGAGACGGCATGGTCGCTTTCTGGTTATCTGCTCGTTTGCTTTTCCGCAGGTAGGTCTTGCCCAGAAAATATTAAGTATGTGTGAGGACTGGGAATTTTTTTGTTCAGTTACATTCATGACCTTTCTCCGTCCCCTCCCTAGGGTATTTCATCCACGACTCGGTAGACATCGTGGTTAGTCGTCAGACACGAGCTTCTTGGGAATATCTTGTTCATCACCTCATGGTAAATGATAGGCAGGGGATGTGGTGTAGGCCTGGTGCTAGCAGCCTAGTCTCAGCCCTTTCTGGATCTGGGAGGTAAATACCATCCTAATTCATTTCCAACCTGTGTCCTACATCTCCTACCAGGACACTGAGTGAGGGTTGGCACTGTGTGTGCCCTTGGCAGGTAACTATTTGAGGCCAGCAATCCATGGCCTGACCTAATACCTCCTTGAAGACTGGAAACCCTACCCAGAGCCAGAACCTGTGGGCGGGGATCAAAATATAATTATGTTTAATCCACCATAAACTATAATCCAGAAGGAAGCCAATAAGGATGGACTTCCCAGCCAACCATCTGGTAGCTTTGCCATTCCTACCAATTTTTAGGAAATCGATGGTATCTGGAGTCCCTAACCTGCTCTCTCCTTTGCCTTCTAGGCCATGAGTGCCTTCTTTTCAGGCATCTTTTGGAACAGTTTTGTTGGTGGGGGAGTCCTAACACTACTGGTGGAGGTCAGCAACATATTCCTCACTATCCGCATGATGATGAAGATAAACAATGCCCAGCACCTCCTTCTGTACAGGGTTAATAAGTATGTCAACTTGGTCATGTACTTTCTCTTCCGCCTGGCCCCTCAGGCCTACCTCACCCATTACTTCCTGCATTATTGGGGCCAGAGGACACTCGGCACCTTTCTGCTGAGTATACTGCTCATGCTGGACGTTATGATCCTCACCTACTTTTCCCGCCTCCTCCGCTCAGACTTCTGCCCTGAGCGTGTCCCCAGTCAGCAACACAAAGGCAAGTTTTTGACTGAGTGAAAGGCACAAAGCCTGCAACTTGCGGCAAGAGCAGAGGCGCCAAAAACAGCCTGCATGTTTAAGAGAATTAGCTCCACGCCTGGGGCATCCTCTGAGGCCGACTGCTGCACCTACTATTGAAAATGTTGATGAAAGCACTCCTCTGAAGTCCTTGTCCTTTCTTGGGCAAGGGGTGAGGGAAGCAGACAGACCGGTTGGACGTAGTAGTTGGGTGTGGAGACAGGTGCTATCAAAGCCAACCAGTCCACACTGCCCTGAAGTGGATGCTAATGAGAACTCAGTGTGTTGGTTTCCTACAAAGCCTTTTCCAGATAAAGGGAAGGATTCTTGTTTGTTTTCTTACCCCTCTAACAGTGGCAAGTTGTAGTTGTCCCAGGACAATGAACCCCAATCCGGGCCCCAAATATCTGAGCTTCCACTGCTGGGATTTTAAGAAGTGTGGTGTGGTAATAAGGCAGTGTTCCAACAGGGTAAGTAGACCAAGAGTCTTACCCAAGCCCTGTTACTTAAGTGTGTATATATAGCATACTACGGCCTCCCAGAAGCCCAACCAGAAATCAACAAACAAACATATATGGTGAAAAAATTTATATTTAGATTTATAGCCGGCTGGACTCAGTTTAGATGATCCCAATCTGAAAAACAAAAGGGGAGCTTTCATTACCAGGAGCTGAAATGTGAAGATTAGCTGAAAAGTCATGGTTAAAAAGCAAAATGAGGTGAAGTAGGGCCTATTAAGGATACGGGGTGCAGTTAATACCAGTCAGGAGAAGTCATGTTTTGGTCATTTATTAATGACCAAAAGAGCCATCACTTGGACCCAGGCAGTGGGTGAGTTCACAGAAAAGGTAGCTTACTTTGTTGGCAACATCCAAAGCATCATAGTCAGGAGCCAGTCGAACATATGCTTTCTTCTCTCCATCAGGCCTAGGATGAAGGATGTCTTAATTCCTCTTGCCCTTACTGCCCCTAACCCCTTCCCTTTCCCCCTAGTCTTTCTGGCACACCAGCAGTTCCTTTGGTCATGTCATTCTTTCCTAAATAGTGACTTTTCCATCATTTGCACAAGAGGCTAGGGATGCCACCAAACCACATATGAAGCCAAGTCCCCTTGTGGGGACCACCACAGTACATTTTAAGACTTAAGTGCAGATAATCTGACATAAATTGGGTCTAGGGCCTGCCTGTCTAAAGGTGTAAGAATCAAGAAAGCCAACACCATACATCAAGTCCTAGAGGCAGGAGAGCTAATGTATCCTCAAAAGTCCATACCACATAGAAAGAATTAGAAATACAGCAAAAGCTGCTCATTTCTCAAGGCTCAAAAGCTGTGAAACCTACCTGACTCCATGTAGGTTTCCTGGCTCCTGATGAAGGCCCTACTCACCTGATCAAGGTGTTGACCTTGGCCACATCAATGTCATAAAGCTTCTTCACAGCCTGTTTGATCTGGTGCTTATTGGCCTTGACATCCACAATGAACACAAGTGTGTTGTTGTCTTCTATTTTCTTCATGGCTGACTCAGTAGTTAAGGGGAACTTGATGATGGCATAGTGATCAAGCCTGGAGAAGAGGCAAAATGGTGTCAGCTGGCCTGGGTCCAATAAAATTATGAGAAGATAGGCCCTCTTTCAGAGCCTGAAGCCAGAAGAGCCCAGGTGCATCAGACAATGAAGTAGCAATCATTTTTGTCAGACTTTGGTCGCTAAACAGTGTCATCATCTGCACCCTGAAACTTGGGAGACCTGTGCACTCTCTTCCACTTGAAGGACTTTCAAGTGATTGAAGAATCATCTCTGAGTAAACCCCCTTCATTCTTGGACTTTAGCGTTTTGAAGGGCAAACCTCTAAAAGAATTTGAGGCTTCAGAGAGTAAACAACTTACTTCAAGAGCATAAAGCTGAAACCCAGAGTAGAGTTCCAAAGAACATTAGTGCTTCACTATGAGATGACATAGACATTTCTGCCCCCTCTAGTTGCTGAAAACTGGTTTGAGGACCAATGAATGAAAGCACCTTTTATTTATAGTCCAAGTTAAACTTACAATGGCTTGACCATACCTACCACACAACTTTCCCCCTGAAATTCAGAAAAGCAAGTCTCTGTTCATCTGGACATTACGTTCCTGTCTTAAAGCTAGATATCAGGTCTCAACCTCTCATCACATTAAATCCTAAGTCTAAATGAGGGTAAAAAGTTCTTTCCTCCACGGACACAACCCACTCTACCACTTTCTTTTCTTTCTTTTTTTTTTTTAAGAAATAAATTTTTTTTTAATTTTTTTAAATTTATTTATTTATGATAGTCAGAGAGAGAGAGAGAGAGAGAGAGAGAGAGAGAGACAAAAGCAGGCTCCATGCACCGGGAGCCCGATATGGGATTCGATCCCGGGTCTCCAGGATCGCGCCCTGGGCCAAAGGCAGGCGCCAAACCGCTGTGCCACTCAGGGATCCCTTTTTTTTTTAAAGAAATAGAAGGTGGCAGTTACTACTATTGCTCTAATACGTGGCCCCTAAAATCAGTTTTATTAATACAAAACACTTCAAAGCCCTAATCTTTTGCCTATTCCCTATTTCTTGAGTGTAAATGAGAATTTTTACATACACTGTTGAAGGCCTTCTATGTCCATTTGGTTATTATAAGTGTCCTTATCAATCTAGAATCAGCACCCGTTAGAGGACTATTCCTTCCAGCAATAGGCGCAATGAATAACCAAATCTGGAACTCCAAGACAAAATACATTTATCAAAGTCCTACTTTACACTCCAAGAAAACGGAGTTTAAAACCCTAATCAGGGCAGCCCGGATAGCTCTGCGCTTTAGCACCGCTTTCAGCCCAGGGTGTGATCCTGGAGACCCAGAATGGAGTCCCACGTTGGGCTCCCTGCATGGAGCCTGCTTCTGCCTGTGTCTGTGGCTCTCTCTGTGTATCTCTCATGAATAAGTAAATAAAATTTTAAAAATAAAACCCTAATCATAGGGCACCTGGGTAGCTCAGTGGTTGAGTGCCTTTGGCTCAGGTCGTGATCGCAGGATTCTGAGATCCAGGCCTGCATCGGGCTCCCTCAGGGAGCCTGCTGCTCTCTGTATCTCTAGTGAATAGGTGTTTTTTAAAAATTAAAAAAAATATAAAAATCCTGGTCATATAAGAACAATAATTAACCTGACAATTAGTTAACATTAATAATTGAGCTGTTTTAAACAATTCCTGCCAATATTGTAAAAACGTCTCTTCTCGTTCTTAAATGGGGCACTAACAATCCCTTCACACTCCCTTAGGAAGACACACACTAGGTACCAACATGTATTTGAGAACCCATGCTGTAGGTTTGGTAAGTTTCCAAATTACGAATGGTTACCCAACATCTTTTCATAGGAAAGGGCATTACTAACTTGTTTCTCCTGGGGGCGCTCTTCCGAGGATATTTGGGCTGCCTTCGGAGACGCAGGGTCTTGGGTCTTCGGAATGTAGGTGACGTGCGGATCTTCTTTTTTTTGTGACTGTGCACGCCTTTCAGCACCGCTTTCTTAGCTTTCAAAGCCTTTGCTTTGGCTTCGGCTTTGGGAGGGGCAGGGGCTGAGAGAAAAAAAGATAATTAGGGCTCGGGATTCAGAAAACAATCACTTCCGTCCTAGCGGGCGCCCCAGCCCACACGTGCATCAGTGGTTCCTTTGAAGACATCACAAGTCTCAGGACATTAAAATTTTTCCATCATATGCACGATACTGGCTCGAACTTGGGAAGAAGTCCAGGAATACGACGCAGAAAAAAGGAACTAGCTATAATCGAACGCTTGATATCTGACAAGATGTGTGTTAGCAGTTTTATTTACCTATATAGCCCCGCCTAAAACACGGGGAAAAAAAAAAGGAAATTAAATTGTGGGAGGCTGGTTTTTTTTTTTACAGGTGGATATAAGTAGTTCCCTAAAGCCAACAGTCTGGCAACCCCCGACAGGTGGGGCCGGCCAGGCTTGCCTCCACAAACCACCTCAGAAGAGCCTAGCCCACGAGGCTGGGCACACACGCACCGTGGCATGGCGGAATGCGAGAAGCAGGTCGGGAGAGGACACCCCAAAGCTTAGCCTAGCCGCTGTCCTCCCAGTTCGTTCATTCCGAAGAGATCCCACGCCAGCTAACCGTGATAACCCTCTTTCCCCAGCGCGAGCACACACCTTCCTTCTTCGCCTTCGGCGCCATCTTCGTGAAAGGGATTTCCCAGGCTCGTTTCCACGGGCTTATAGAGCGCAGTCTCACCGAAGACTCGCGATGCTTTTTATTTAAAGCTGATTGGATAAACTGTAGCGCAGCGCCCTCTGGGAATGGTAGTTAAGTTTAATGCCCTCGCGAGAGTGATTAAGCATGCTCCACCCCTTCCCGCAAAAGAGTCTAAAGTGTCTTGGGGGTTGTAGTTTTCTGGAGGCATGAGTTTATTTGCTAAGGTCGTGGATGCGTTTCGTGTAGCCAGCTGCAGCTAGCGTCTGATCCTGAGCGCTTCCCATTTTGAGGAAAGTATTGCAGTTTCAGGAGACAGTAACACTGAAAACTGAGCTAAATATAATTAGGTTGACTCAGGGAGAGTGAAGCAAAGTTGTAGAACGTTAGAGCAGAAGTTGTCTGGTACAGGAGCTCCTGGGTGGTTCAGTAGGTTAAGCCTCTGCCTTCTGCTCAGGTCATGATCCCAGGGTCCTGGGGTGCAGACCCCCATAGGGCTCCCTGCTCAGCGAAGACCTGGCTTCTCCCCTCTGCCGCCCCCTACTCCGGCTTGTGTGCACTCTCTCAACAAAACAAAACAAACTTTAATTATCTGGTCCAAGACCCTCAAACAACTTCTGTGGAAATTTAGGTCCAGAGCGGCGACGTGGTTTATCAATAACACAGTGATTTGGTCGCAGAAAAAGACGAGTCAGGCAGAGGAGAGGAGGAAAGTATCATAGGAGGTAGAAGGTGGCCGTATCTGCCCCTCTTTACCTGTGATAGTCCTAGATGTCGTGCGTTTTCCCGATAATACTCTTTAAACTACCAATATTAAAAACACCCGTTGTACTGGTTTCGCTAGGACTCGCTAGTTCTCGGGAGTAATTTCATTCATAGTCCCCTCTCTTTTTTTTTTTTAATTTTTTTAAGTTTCTATTT